GGGAAGTCCTGGATGATTCATCGAGATTTTCTCACAGAGAATGAGTCAGATGCAATGTAGCTACCACTACCGATACCACCATCCCTTCCAAACACAACCACTCTGCCCTCTCTGTGGAAAAGGACACCGTTTCTAGAGGGATTGCAAAATCATCATGCTGATCTCAACTTCAGTTTCATTCACTCTTCCCATCCTGGATTCCTTTCTTTCACAGTATTTGCAGACGTTCCAGCGCAGTGCTGCCTGGTAGGCAGGGCTACCATGCAAGCCACATAGGTGGTTTTAACTTTTCTCCTCAGAACTCGCTGCTATCCAGTCAATGCTGACTCATCACAGCCCTACAGGACGGAGCAGGGCTGCCCCTGCGCTTTTCTGAGATTGTAATTCTTTATGGGAATAGAACGCTTCTTTCCCCCACAGAACAGCTTGTGGTTTTGAACTGCTGCCTCAGCAGTTAGCAGCCCAACATGTCACCACTTAGGCAGCCACCAAGCCTCCTAAATTTTGTCCCAGCCAAGTTAAAAAAAAAGTGATAAGCAACATATATATGCTTTTTCATAGGTGAGTGTAACTTTCATCATGCATTTTATTTAGCGCAGTCTATCCAGAACATTATCCTGTCAGTATGTCATGAATAAAAAAGGATTTTACTCTTAGCGATATATTTTATATATTTTACTCTTAACGGTCTCTTCGGAGAGTCTGTCACTGTTTATAGGAGTGGGAGTCCCAGTCATCCTCCCACGGAGCTCATCTTTGAAACCGAGTAGTGTGTATTTTCCACTCAGAACAGATTTCAGAAGTTCAATAGCTACATGGCTAGTGGTGACCATTTTGGATGGTGTCAACCCGGGATGCTAGAGGTGAGGAGCCGTGGTGGCATGATGGTTATTCATTGGGCTGCAAACTACAAGGTCAGCAGTTCGAAGCTACCAGCCCCTCAGTGGGAGAAAGTTGAGTCTTTCTACTTCTCTAAAGAGTTATCAGCCCCACAGGGGCCATTCTACTTTTTCCTAGAGGGTTGCTATGAGTTGGCATTGACTGAGTGTGGAGGGTACTGAGGCTGTCAAGTTCAGAGAAAACAAAACAAAAACTGGAGTTGTAGGAGCCCATCACAGCAATCTACATATAACCCCCTTCCCTGGGAGACAGACAACAGAAAAGTGGGTGAAGGGAGATGTCGGACAGTAGAATATGTGACAAAATAATAATAATTTATAGATTATCAAGGGTTTGTGAGGGGGCGGTGAGGAGGAAGGGGAAAAAATGAGGAGCTGATACCGAGGGCTCAAGTAGAAAGAACATGTTTTGAGAATGACGATGGCAACAAATGTACAAATGTGCTTGACACAATGGATGGATGGATGGGTTATGATAAGAGTTGAATAAGCCCCCAATAAAATGATTTTTTAAAAAGCATACTTACAAATCAATACAGGTAACATCACCAAGGGCTCCATAGAAAGTAAGTGTCTAGGAAATGATGGTGACAACACGTGTACAAATGTGTGTGACACAATCGCTGCCGTCTGGATTGTTGTAAGAGCGGCAAGCGTCCAAATAAAATGATCTTATAATTAAAAACAAACAAACAAACAAAAACTGGTGTTCACCTCCATGCCTTACTGGGCCACACAGATCAATAAGGGCTCAATGATGAGGGTGGGTGCTGGGTGGAGTCAGACCCCCTGAGCAAGGACCTCCCTCTAGTGACCCTAGGTTCTTCTGAGGCCGCTGGACTTCATTCCTTTGAATCGCAAGGAGAGCAATGAGGTGGAGTTTGGCCTGGGCATCCATCCGCCCAAGGATGGGCATCCATCCGCCCAAGAAAGCACTCCTTACCTGTTCCCCCCGAGATGCCCCTCTGGCCCGGCTCACCCTCCTGCTCCTGATTCTGGAAAGGGCTGAAAGTGTGGTGCCCAGGGCGAAAAGAGAGATGCTTTTAGTTTCTCTCTGACCAGACATCCATCCCTCCACTCACTTTTGGGAAGTGGCACGAAGCGCTGGGGTTCCAAATAGTAAGGTCACTGCTACCTGATGAGTTCCCACCAATCCATGTTGTCCCCCTCTCAGACCCCCACATGCCCAGCTTCTCAGGGAGTAGAGCAGAACCTGGT